TGGTGCTGCCAGCGCCGCCCCGAGCCCCCATGCCCTGGGGTGCGCACGGCGAGCACCGCAGCCTGCCGCAAACCTGGGCGCTGCTCTGCTCTGCCCTCCCAAGAAAAGGCTGGCACGTTTACCCACCCTGGTTTTCGGCTCCTGGGCACAAGCAGGTGCCTCCTGCCCAGAAAAGGACACCGGACCCGGCAGCCCCATTCCCTGCCCGATTGTGCGTGAAAGGCGGCAGCAGGCTCAGGCTGCAGTGCTGAGCCGGGCCCCCGCGCGCTCACCCGTCTGCAGCGGGAGGGAGATGTGCATCCTCCAGTTGGTCCTCACCACCGACCGTCCCCCTGCCTCCAGGGCCGAGACAATGGGCCCCTCAGCAGGCTCCTTCTCAACGCGGTCGCTGACGTCCTGCGTACCCAAGAGCAGGGACGGGGCAGGTATGGCACTGCCCTCGCCCCACACCGCCCCGTCCAGCACCAGGGAACAGAGCCGGTGCTGAGGAGGGACAAAGAGGGTTTGGCCCTGGCCCCAAACCCAGGGACACCCCAACCCTTGCAAAAGTAGCTCAAAGTGAGCATGTTGACCTAAATACAGCTGTTTCCAGTGCTTGTTTTTCAGAGTACACCTATGTTCACTGCCTGGTGGGATGGCGCTGCTCACCTGGAAGAACTGCAGCTGCTTTTCCCGACTCCAGAAAAAGGGGTGCACAAGGACCATGGGGGCCGAGGGCCGGCGCTGGGGCTCGGGGCTGATCATCGCCGCTATCAGCTCTCGCGCAACAAGCTTGTCTGGTAGGCGAAACAACACAACAGAGAACTAAGCCCCCCTGAGAAGGACCAGGAGCTGCGCCCCTCAGCTCAGGGCTTCCCCGCAGGGACATGCCTGTGGGGAAGGGTCTCACCGTGAGCTTCTTCCTGCAGGCAGCTCAGCTGGTAAGAGCCTGACAAGATGTTGGCCTGTCGCCGCAAGCTGTCCCCAAACGGGTGCTGCCCTTCTGACACCACGTAGTAGAAGACACAGCCAGCTGAGAAGATGTCCACAGCACACGTCTGCAAAACACGAAGGAGGGAGATGGGACCCGCACAGCAAGGGGTGAGGAAAGCTTTCACCTCCCCACTTTTCCATTCTTTTATGTGAATGCTTGGTCATTTGCTACAGAGCTGCTGGAAAACGCGTTGCACCAGGGCTCCTGCCTGCCCTGCTTTCTGGAGTCAGTGAAGCACCCATCACATCAGGTCCTTACCAGGGAAGAGGTTTTCAGAGGCACAGACAGAAGTCAGGACTTCACGGCCAGGCGGACACGCCAGGGCTGCTGGCGTCTCACCCAGCTGTGCAACCTGACCCCAGTATGAGGTTATGGGGAGCACGCTGCCAGCACCAGTATGTGCCCTGCCAGGGACCAGTACAGCAACCGGCTTCCAGCAGGAACAGGATTCCCTGGGCTAAACAGACGAGCAGAAGCATAACCTTCGGCAGCAAGCCACGGCCCCCTCCGACCTCCCCACCCTGAATTTCCAAGGACTGTAGCCAGATGAGACACCCTGCGCTGAACACAGCCGGGCACTGTCCCCGCCAGGGCAGGAGAGCAGGGGCAGCTGCTGACTCGGGCAGTCCTGGCGAGGAGCACTGGTGCATCTGGGTTGGCTTGGGCTCTCGGAACTTTTGTCTTAATTGTGCATTTCAGCAGCACACTGCAAGGCCACTGCCAGCACGGGGGGACTCTGCCACGACAGGCTCGAGGAGGACCCTAGGCGAGGGGAGGCATCCGCGGCTCACTGACGGGGTTCTCCTTCGGGGCCTCCTGCAGCACCTCGGGATCCAGCCCTCGGTGCCAGGGATCCCGGAGCGGAGGCTGAAGCTCTGTCGTCCCCCCTGAAGCTTCTTGCAGAGGCCAAAGTCAGAGATGACGGCTCGGATCTGCCCGTGGTGATTTGGGATGGAGATGAGGATGTTACAGGGCTTCAGGTCACGATGGACTGGAAGACAGTGTGCGCAGTGTCACCTGCCAACGCGGCGGCAGGGCCGAAGCAGAAAAGGGCTCTGACTGCCGCCCCGCATGCTGCTGACCCTGACAGCTGCTGCCTGAACCCCGCAGCCTCAGCTGAGGACAGAACCAAGACGGGACACACTGCCCTCCTGCCCATGCGTGGCGGTGGGGCGCTGCCCTCTTACCGATGCTGAGGGAGTGGAGGTGGGCCAGCCCGGACATGGTCTGACGCAGCAGAGACACCGGGTCCAGGCTGCGACGATCGAAGCTGGGGCTTTCCACGTACTGGAACCACACAGAAGTAGAAAGAGATGAACGGAGGCCTGACTTACTGGGGCAACCAAGGCAAGGCGTGCCGGGAGAGAGACTTCTCACCAGGCTGACAGAGGTGGAAGGAGACAAGCCCGTGCGGAAGCCTTTTGTGCCCAAGGCTTGCCATTTCCAGGTCTACCAGTCAGCATCTATTCCCTCTGCAGCAAACTGCCCTCACTTGCGTCCTCAGACCTCCACAGCTTCAGCAACACTCCTGCTTTAAGGAGCGGTAAAAGGATGCTTCTCCTCCCCCATGCCGACTCTCTTCCCAGCACAGGAACAACTGCCCTGACCGATGCGGAGGCTCAGAGCTCCCCTGCTCCTCCTGAGAGCGCAAATCGGCAGGAGAACAAGGGCAGGGGCTTGTCTGACACAGAAGCAGTGCTGCTGCTGGCTGCTCTGCCTCTCCAAAGCGTCTCACAGCCTGCCCGTGCCCGATCCGACCCCTGTTCCCTCTGACTGCTGGGAAGCAGGTTCAGAGCAGGGCTGTACGCCCGAGGACAGGCAGGAACACCAAAGAGGGCTCTGAACCCCGGAGCTGCTGACTGCCAACCCTGCCCTCGGGCATGCACAGCACGCTGCTCCTGCAGGAGCACTGCAGGACCTCCCTAACAGCACAGACAGGACCAGATTCGCGTCCCTGGGAACCAACCTGCGAACAGGGGGATGGGGACATCCAGTCTCAACCCCAGCAGCAGCCCCATGCAGCCAACCCCGTGTCCCCAGGGCTGGGCAGGGAGAGGGCTGCAGGCTCACCTCCTGCAGTGTGGCGGAGCAGAGCTCGATGGCGATGTAGTGGAACTGCTTGTCCTTCTCCGTGCAGAAGTAGCGGACGACGTGGGGGTGCTCATCCGACTCCCGGAGCAGTTGGACCTCGCGATCCACAAGATGGAAATACTCGGGCAGGAGGCGCTTCACAGCCACGTTCCGGCCATCAAACTGTCCCCTGCGCGGACAGTCGATGGTGGCATCCATGCATGGCCCTCCCCAGCCAGAGCAGAGCCCGGCGCTGCAGATGCAGAGCCTGGCCAGGCTCTGGCCGATGCTGGGAACTTGGCCCTGGGGGTCCTCAGCATAGGTCACCTTGCAGTGACTCCCAAAGACTTGTCAAAGCCATGGACAGGCAGAAATCTCTGCAGTGAGCTGGAAACTGGGGGTTCAGGTTCCCCTTTTTGTAGGAAAATAACCTCCCTTGCTTCATGCTGTGTTTATTGCTGGGGAAAGGGGCTCAGGGGAACCTTATGAGGGACTAGATCTGCCGCTGCTGAGAGCTGCCTGGAGCAGGCACAGCCAGCTACCCGACAGCCTGGCGCAGGCAGCAGGGGAAGGGGAGCACAGGGTGCTGATGCGAGGGGGAGACCTGCCCTGCGTACCGGTACCTGGTTACTGAAGGCCATGGGCCGGGGTCTCCAGATGGGTTTGATGAGGACCATGAGAAGGGGAGGGTGGCAACCCATTCTCAAAAGCCCCTGAAACACCAGCGGCCAGCCAGGGAAGGAGCTGCCTTAGCACCGTACTTGTGGCTCCCAGGAGAATGAGAGCAGAATGAGGGCAGGCACCCGGGGTACCACCCACCTGAAGACAAAGGTTCCTCCAGCTCCGTGGCCCAGCACGTCCTTGGGGTTAAAAGAAACTTTCCCAACTACAATCACGTCTGGTTCTGCATCTGCAGCGGAAGACAGCCATCCTTCAACCTACGAGCCTTAGTGCTATACGAAGGACATCCAGTTCTTGAACCACCTGGCCATTCTTTGGGCCCTACTACTCTTGCAATTGCTTTTGTAGCCCATGCTTATCCAGCAGCAGGTTTTGCATCTCCTCCCCCATCAGCTGGGGCGCAGCCCCCTCATCTGTGGGGCATCTCTGCTCCTGCTTTGGGTGACAACACCTACGGACAGAGCGCCCCTCGCACCTTGCCCGTTTCCACCTGCACACACCTTCAGCAGCCGCCGGGACAGCCGGATCCAGGCTGACCATCCCATTAGCCAGGTCCTTCAGGCGGGCTGAGGGGCCGGAGCTCTTCGAAAGCTGCAACGTGCTTCCCCGGCTCAGCCCTGGCTCCCCGGGCTCTGCAGGGACACCCTCCGCAGATACCCGGCCCGGGAGCAGCATCTCTTGCTGCTGCTGCAGGAGCTGAATTTGCTTCTCCAGCTGCTGCTGCTGCACCGCATGCTGCTTCTGCAGTTTCTGGAACACAAACCACAGGAGCGCTCAGCTCCCGTGCCCAGAGCAGAGCCGGGGCATCGGCAG